GCATAGTTTTTGTTAGTCACCTCTGCAACCGCAATTATCGAAAAAAAACCAAGGAATATTTATCCCTAAAGCTTCCTCTGTGGCCACACAAGAGCAAATAAGACATTTCACTTTTCATGTTGTACTCAGGTGACTTTAAAATCAAAGACAAAACGACTCGATCTCTCCAGAAAAAAATGTTACCGAAATTAAAAATTTGAAATTATAATATCTCACTCAATTCTTTTTTTATCTTTTTCTGTCTGTAATGTAAAATTGTAGCTGTCTGTTAGCATGAAATGGAAGCGCCTCAAATTGCATCAATCAACTCATCGATTCAATGACTTAAAGCTACAGCAAGTAAACTCAGAGTAAATTCCGACCCTCAAACAAATCAAACCAAAAGGCTTGAACAGCCAGAAAAGTTGACGCCCAGATGAAGAGGAGTTCGAAGGAACGTGCCTTATTTGTTAAAGTTGTGTCCCGTTTCTCATCAATCCGGACAACAGCTTTCATGATTCACTTGACCCGAAACCCAAGACCTTAGATATTTCTCCATGCAGCTCTACTGACACACGAAAGAGTTCGCCGTGAAGGAGGCTCTTTTTTCGATCATTGTATTAATAATTAATACTTTTTGCTTGAAGCGGGTCGTCTTTGTCTGACGCTATTTGTGATGCACATGGGAATGTGTAGGAAAAATTCATCAGAATTCCGTTTAGCTGTAGTGTTAGCCTATTCACATGATTCTTTGCATAACGGCTAGTTTTAGCGAGGAGACTTCCTAAAGGAAACTTACTGACTTGGAAGTTGAAAGGGTTATACGAAGTGAAATCCCATTTTTGTTGATACTAAGATTAGCACTTAAAAATAATCAGCTGGTGGAAGTGTCCAGAAGATCGTTACAGCCTTCGTCTACGCTTACCAACCTTCAGGTTGGTCTAGGTAATCACTAAATTAATACATGATACTTGGACTTCTCCTGCAAAGTTTGGAAGACAACTCGTTGCCTTCAGCCTTCTAGCCAATGATTGTTGACCCAAGGAATGCAGCCATGTCGAAACTTTATCCTCCATTGACAAAACGACCCCCAAAGCGTGTTCTGATCTATTTAAACATACGACTTTGCGACAATGCTGATCCTTGCGGTATGCAGGAAGTTTGTTACTAAAGAACCCTTAGGGTTGAAATCTTCGAGGGAGACTCTATTTTTATCTTAGTCTCGCATTAGTGTCAAATGAAAAGCATTTGTTTTTCAGAACTACTTTGTTTATTTGTTTCTCTGGTTCTGTTACTGCTGAACAGTTGCACTTACGACACAGTTGTTGGTCCCTGTAGGTTACATGACAACGTTTATTTCATTGCCTCGGTTCCCAGAAATCGACCACAAAATACTCTCGGCACAATCAAAAACGTGTTAATTTTCCTAGGTATGTCGAGATTCAAGTTGCTTCTGCTTTTAGTTAGGCAGTTGGAGTAACTCAGCCGTTAGAAGCCTCGCACACTGAACAGGTAAGTTAGTTTAATTTAGTTCAAAGTAAATATCGGTCTGAAGAACGATTCCGCCACAGTTCTAATTTGTAGCATCCCTCTCAAGCGAGCAAAATAACGAGTAGTTTCTTTGCTCACTTCCACACATTGTTGCACCTGAACAAACACTTCCTGTGTAATACAACATGAGGCGTTAGTTTGTCATGTTTATCCGTAGTTCCTTACATTGCGCCCACTCGACGTTTGCGTGTTTTGAACTTTGCGTGGGTGACACGGATCTACGGGACGTGATATAAATTTGGCTTATGATCAGGTACCATAGCAACCAGATTGTAAACAAAGGGAAGAAGGGAAAGTTTACCACAAAAAGGGAAGTTTACCACGTAGTGGTAAACTTTTTTTTTCTGCTTGCTGCTTGTAGGAATTTTTCTTATGACTAATCATTTCTGCCATATAATGAAACGGGAAATGAAAAAAGCATAACCCGAAATTGTGGTTATACGGCTTCAATGTGACGTTGTCAAAACCTTACTACATAAAGCTACGTTTGGAATTGTCCTGAAGTGACCTTCAATATTTTTGCTTCAGTATGTCAAAGATGATCGATGTTTTCTTTACAGTAAGACCATAAAGACTACTCAATCAATTTGGAGGCCGTCCAAGTTGACAACATTCGAGGAAAACTGTTCGCAGGCCATACATCCTTCTCAGAGATTCGTAATCAAGCCTATATGCACAGCAGTAGGCAAGGAAAATGTTTACACTTTTGCCGACAATTGCCTTAACAAGATAAAAAATAGATCACACAGTTGGACATGAAAGACATCAGCCAAAAACCTGAGTGGAATTGTTACATAATAGAAGCAAATATAAATCTGTTCATGCCAGTGTCACAATGTTGCTTCACAAGTTGCCGAGCTTGCATTCAAGTTTCTAAAATTATTGGAAGGATACTACCGATTCAGTAATAATGATCACACAGCAAAACATTGTACCGTAAAAGATTAATGTTGGGATATTTCTAAGCAGACGAAACATATTTCATCTTGGGTTACAATTTGAATTTTAAACCTAGAATTAAAACATCACGTAAATGGAATTGCCAGATTACATGCATATTTTGGCTAACTTAAAAATGGTTTTAATTTCAACGTGTGATTTTATTGTCAGTTTCGGGCCCTTTCCAATCTATTGGAATAGTGCAGTTTATCATGAATTGATAATTAGAAAATGCTTGAAGTATTTAGAATTGTATAATCAACTAATGAGAACACAAGGACAGCATTGAATTGTTGCCTGATAGGAACAGTTTTTATAAAAACGCAATTGCTTTTGAGTTTTGCTTGGGATTTACCCTGATAAGTTTGGGTTCTCAAGCTCCCATTCAGTACAATGTAGATGCGAATACAAAAGTGCAGTTCTTGCTCAGAGAAATCTATTCCAGAATTTTTCAATATTATGATGAGGACATCAAGATTAAGTTATCAAATTATTGATTTATTATGAGCTTCTTCTACAGGATATGAAAGCATAATTTCGAGTAGAGCCGGTGAAATCGGGTGCTAGTTCCATTATCAATAAAGACTTTTTAGAATAATATAACACCACTTTAGAACAGAGCTGCTGATCTAAAAGAAAGTTTTCGTTTTTTATCATTGCAAAGGGTCGTGCATGATTTCAAACATTACCACATGTGTATTTTTAGCTCTTTCCAATCGTTGCAGATATAATTAAGATTTCATCTCTTGAGTTAAATACACATTTCGAGTGGTTGAGCACAAAATGAGAACATTAGAATAAAATGCAAATTTAATATCATGAGAAACATTGTCCATTCTTAGGAACAGAGCAAAGAATTGTCCACTTGTAGATTGGATAATTAATTTGTGGTGGTCTTCATCCAATCCATATGAAAGAAAGATTTTTATCGCGAGACAGTGAAATTCAGTGCTAGTGAAGAATGGTTAAGTCGTTAAACAATGTAAGTCCACCCTACATTTAGGATCTTTCGTGGCTTAAACAAGCCTCTAATTTTGCTTTGTCGGGTACGGTGTTAAGGAGAGATTTAATGCTAGACAGATATGTTATCACTGCAAGGGAGAAAATTTACAGCGGTGATTAAACCAGAGTTGTTGTCGTATTCGTCTGACAGTGCTAACGTAGGTGATGTAGTCGTTCGCAAGTCTTTCGCTCTGTCGTCCAAGCGAACGTAATACAGTAAATGTATTTACAGTCTGTTGTTGTAGCAGAAATTGTGATGCAGAACATCGAGGAAAGCGCCCTTTCGACTTGCCGACGGACTTGCCGACAGACTTCATCCAACGTAACACTCACAGACCTACTACTACTACCGAAGCTAACGACAACGCAACTCCTACGACCACAGCAACTATACCATACATAAAGGGCATATCTGAAAAAATCTCGCGCATCCTACAACCATTCAATATCCGCGTCGCTCACAAACCTATGATCACACTACGTCAGTTACTGACTAACATCAAAGACAAAGACGAACCGAGGAACAGACAAGGAGCAGTATACAAGATCAATTGCTCCGACTGCCATGCCTCCTACATCGGTGAGACTAGCAGAAACCTCACAACTAGACTGACTGAACACAAACGAGCGACGAGGAAGGGCGATGTCAACAATCACATTGCTGAACATCACCGACTTACGAACCACACTATTGACTGGGACTCTGCGCAATGCCTAACCTTGCACCAACTACTTTCAACGACTGACCCTGGAAAGCTGGTTTACTAACTTGGAACAGACTCCCCTCAACAGGCGTCAACCACTACCGGCACCATACAAACGACTCATTCACGACATTAACATCACAAAGCTAAAAGTTTTCCTTGTCGATTTAAGGAAGTTCGAGGTGCTAAATTAACTTGTGAGGACAGATGGTCGAGGGTGACATACTCGATTCTATTGGTAAATATGACAATAACTAAACTACATCAGTAGTAAAAATTTGGCTTGTAAATTCTAGTAATTTTGTGCCTCGCTGAAACATTCTCTCGATTCAAATTAATCGTTACTTCCTTTTCAAGTCAGTCGATTTGCTTTTTTTTTTTTCTAAACTTAATGGAAGCCATGATGCATTAGTTCCCGCATTTGTGGGTAATTTGCACGCTTAAACGATCCTATTTAAAATGTCATGAAAGATGGTAAGCCTCGTTTTTTTGAAGCAATTGTTTTCAATGAGGTAAAAAGTGCTAGTCTCTTGCCGTGCACATCCAAGAGGTTTCCATATTTATTCTAAATGTAACTTTGGCAGTTTCTGTGTGTGTAACTCATATTTAATCTAAACAGTGTAGGTGGAAAGTTTTTAGCGCTGTTGTAATTTGCATTCGTGTCACATGAAATCAGCCAATCAGACGCGCGTAATTTTATCAAGTATATTATTAAGGGTTTTAATAAAAAATGAAGACAACGAAAACAGGAAGAAATTTAGATCTAGTTTTATTTGAGTGAAATTTTTTCATTAACAAACACCCACGACTATTAGCGAACAAAACTGACTTTTACATTTTAGCTAGACATTCGGCGAACAGTGGTAATAAGTAACAGCGCCTGTCGACTCTAAGAACAACCCCCTAATAACTTAAAAGTTATTCTTCAGGTAAGGAAGTTGAGGTACGTTGAGGTAAGGTAAAATTATTTTTTTCATTTTGAAGATCGTCTGAAAAGTTCCCTGTTTTATTTCTTTAAGTAAGCTTTTCCATGACAGCCGATAAAGCTACATACTTCGTTATCTGATGATTCAAGATGCCGTAAGAAATTTTCAAAATAATCATAGAAGTGGATTTGAGCAAGCTAAAAGTCCCCTGTCTCTGAACGCGATTTTCATTACAGAAAGCTTTTAATGAGGTGATGACTCTTACGGCTAACGGTTAAATTTCTGGCTAATTTACGGTAACGTTTAATTTTTCTCCGTTGCGATTGAATGAAAAAATCTTACGGTTACCTTTTTCACGACCAACGGTTGTAATTTGTCAGTTTTACGTCTAAAGACTAAATTTTCTTTGCCGTTTTAAAGCTAACGGTCTCTCCCATTGAGACTCTCTTGCAGGATTCTAAAAATTGATATTCCGGTTTAGTCCATGCAGTTCGTATGTAAGAATTGTTGGAGAAAATAAGTACTGGCCGTTGAAAAAAGGGAAACCATCATTGGACCTAACGAAAAGAAGATAAATTAGCCATATAAAGTTTGTCCATGATTAGGTGTCTCAAAATTACGAGCCAGGATAGTTTTATAAGTTATACATTTTGTTAGGACTGGTAGGTAATCTTTAAAAGACTCTTTTCATCTCTCCGACCGAGCTAAACGAGCCCCAAGGCAGTTTATGTTTTCTTGTGGTGAACAGGAGAAGCAGGTGATGGTATCATAATAGTGGGATGATCTTCACTCAGAAAGCTTAAGGGCGAAGATAGTCTCTTCGCTGTTCCATCTGCGAGAACTGAGGCAAATATTTTGCAAAAAAAAGTGGGTACAAAAATATTTGTCGCTTTTAAGATGAAAAGAAAAAAAAATGTTTTTGGATGCCATTAAATGTTCGCTGCGTTTTGACAAGTTCCTGTCCCCATTCATGTTAATTGAAATTCGCCGCCAGCTATCACATTCGAAATATGTGCATTGTAATGTAGTATTTCATTAGAATGACGGAAACTAACTTCTCTAGAACTTTCCTATCAGGAATTAGCTTTCGTTCTCAACTATATGTCAAATTAAATAATTTTAAACCAAAAAGAATGCTTATAGGGAATCAATTAAAGGCACCCTTAAACGGAAAAAATTGAAAAAGGGAGGGGGATTCTAAAACCTAACCACTAAAAGAAAATCTTTTCGTCTCTTTCTCCTTAAGAAAATAAATTTCATGAAAGGGTGACCTACTTAACGTAACTTCGCTGGAATTGGCTGGAAAGCGGCCGATACCTGCGAAAACATATTTTAAGCCCCTGTTTCATTTTGCTTTGGTTGTAAAGTTAAGGCCTCTTTTGTAGAAGGAAATATTACAACTGAAATACCAAACCTTACGAGGATGTAGGAAAAAGAAATAAAAAGGTACGCCCTCTCCAGAAAATCAGCGACACCTTTCTGAGGGTTATTGTCGGAAAACATCTCCAAAATTAATTTCATCAGTATTTGAAATGCGCAAACAAACCAGTTTTAAGCGAATAAATGATTCTGGCTTTTTCTTAACATATCACCTCATAAGCTGTTTAGGAAATTGCAAAGGTAATGTCTATGACTATAAAGCTTTAACAAATACGATGGGTCAAGCGCGCACATGTGAGTGCGTTTTCTAAACGGCTATTGCTCCATCCAACCACCCCTTTACCTTGTGTGTTCAAGAAGTTTTCAATTTAAAAAAAGATTCTCTCCTCGTAACCGGTCGTAATCTCGAACAAAGTGATAGCTTGGCTTTGTCATTTTAAGGGCAGCGAGTGGAACCTCACAATGACTCCAAAGTTGTCGCTGATAATCATGTTTCTGATGTCCCGGATTGGTATCCTCAACGCCAGTAGCCAATGTCATACAGGGGAACACTCTATTGGTGGGATGTTCCTCAGAGGTCATACATTTAAGACGTATCGGGTTGGTTTGCCTGAAATGTGTTATTTCCGGTGTGAGGAAGAAGTCACGTGTCAGAGCTACAATTTCGTGATTGCTCAAAAGATCTGTGAACTGAACAATCGTACAAAGGAAGCAACACCGGAAGATTTTATGCCAGATCAGAGGAGATTTTATATGAAACGCTCCCAAAATAGAGGTACCCCCTTTACTGTTCTGCAGTGGTTTTAGCCTACCCTTTTCTCAGTATGGAAGGATTTTAATCTGTCATATTTCAATCACAATTGCAGAAAACTCAGATTTCAGGCATATACAGTATTTAAGATACATATTTCTATGGCTGGCCTTTGGAAGATGTTAATTCAATGATTGCTTCATTGTTAGAAAAGGTTTTTAAAAGGAAAAAAAATTAAAGAAAATAACCGACTCCACGCCATTGTCAAGTTAAGTTATAAAAAGTATTCAAACTCAGGAACGAAGTCAAAAAACAGTTCCCTTAGTAACCTTGACAATGGTATCGTAATGAAACTGAAAAGGTGGTTAGTTTCTCTTTTTCATTGTTGTTGTCTTTCATCTTATTTCTACTTCATAATCAAATATAATTACTGTAGCACAGTTTTCATTTCTTCCTGCTTTTACATGGTCAGGAAAGGGGGAAGCTTTCTCCTTTACCTTGTTATTTCCATGCCTAAAGAAATCAGATGCTCAAGTCATACCAGGAGGTATCGAATTGCATGATGGTGTAAACTACCTATTTGTAATTCGTTTTTACTGACGCAGTTCCCCTCGGATCCATCAAAGAACTTCCAGCGGATACCTGCGGTGAGATCAAAGCGAGTGAAGGCGAAGAGATGATTGACGGAATACACTGGATTTACTCTGAAGAGAATGGCGAGGTCATCAAGGCTTATTGTAAAGGTAAATTGTTTTACTACATTGGTGGACTCAATCATCCCTCCACTGCCTCCTTAAATTCACCTTTTGGGCTTTATATTTCACGTGTAGTATCAAGTGACTTTTGATGTCAACAAACCCCGAAAGTTCAGACATTGAGTCGAGCTGCAGCACATGTGTCCAAACTTCGGCTTTGGAAATTTTTCTTGAGGTATCGTGAATCGTTTTTCAGGTGCCATAAGCTCATCTCTTTGTCGTAACCATTATGTTTAGGTATACATTTACTAAACAACTGCAATCGTACACGTTCATAGAGTTGAAATCGGTTTTATTTTTGGGAATGAAGGCTTCCTCACGTCCTACAGCGATTCGTGGGCACTAATTTCCTGTCGGACGGGGATTTATCTGACAATCTACGCACTAAACACCCTGAAAACACCTGATCAGATACATCACTGTACGCAGAACTAGTTCGATTATTCCATGCCGCAACGCTTCCTGTAACATTCTTCGCATCTGCTTCAACGGCAGCGAAATGACAACTTGCTTAATAAACGATCAAATAAATGCCAAAAGAAAGATGTCAATTTTGAGCGAAGAGACGCTTCTTGAAAGTGGGAAGTTATTTAAGAAAAATTTCCAAAGCCGAAGTTTGGACACATGTGCTGCGAGCTCGACTCAATGTCCGAACTTTCGGGGTTTGTTTACTAATCTAAAGCCCAAAAGGTGAATTGATGTGTTGTTACATTCCGACATAGGTATTTTTTAAAATATTAATCTCGCCGCGGTGTTCTGCAAAAAGAGTTAGGAACAATGATAATGGCTTTGTTTTGGTGATAACGCTGAAAGATAAACAAACCCGGAGAAGGATGAATGAATTAGACATGAATTATTCTCTCCCTCACACGAAATTGTTTTGATCGTTCAATGAGTTGGACAACCACTGAATTAATTATTCAGTTACCCCTTTTATCACTGGAACATATCTTGCAAATGACTTTTAGTTACCATTAACAACATAAAATAAAACTATCAAGATTCACTACCTAAATTATTAGTGTATTACATTATTTCAGAGGGCTGGCAAAAAATAAATGGTGAAGTGCCTGTCTGCTTTGGAGCCAAAGATAACGAGTATGGCGCCTTCAACATGACAAAAAGTGGACGAGTGAAGACAATGAAGCTTATTCACAGGTCGGGATGGGTGAAATGCAACCCTAAGTATAAAGCATCCTTTTGGAGTTGCACTAATCCACAATACAAAGAACACTTGATGACAATCATCACGGATGCTGATAAGAAACCTGTCTTGCCGCCTACTGAAAACCTGACGAATTTGGGAATGGCAGGAGAAAAAGCCCACTTTTACAGTCTTCCTGGATATCATCATAATTCAACTGAGCTCGTTTTTCGTACCCTCGTCAATCCACTGTCTGTTTCGAACAACCAAGAGATGCAGATTTGGTACGGACAGGATATGGTGGATAGTCGAGAGGTGGACAACAGTGGGAAAACTTGTGTTGATGTATATGCATTTTATGTGTGAGTTTGCCCATTGAAGACCTTGCCTTCGTTGATTTCAAAACTGACTTAAAAAGAGAAATTAGATTATGAACCAACGCTTGTCATGTATACTAACACAGTAAACAGTTACATTTTAAGAAAGAAAACTTACGATTTAAACAAGACGGAGAAAAAATCAAGAAATTAGTTTTAAAACCTTTTCATCTTTTGTTTCAATATTTGAGGACTGCTATGTCTTTGTTCTAGATCCAACAAAATTAATTCAAATAAGTGCTTATTTATCGTGGGTTTTGAACTGAACCTCGATTAAAAAATAAAAGAAAAAGAAGAAGAAAGCGAAACAAAACAGGGAAGTCATGAACAATTAAGAGAAAACAAAGAACAAGACAAACACCCTCCCAAAAACATTCTTCTCACTCCCATGAACCAATAAAACCTCAAAACCCATTGATCAACAACTTCCTAAAAACTGTCCTATCGGTGCTCGAGTCGGGCTGTTGAGGAATTCCTCAAATTTGTTACAGTTTTGATTACAGACAGAACGATACAACAAAGAACGGGATGACACAGAACGGGACAATTCCGTAACCTGTTACCGCCAACTCGGCTAAATATGAAACAAAGAATCAACGTCATGAAAAAATCAATGGATTCTAAAATTATTTTACCATTGGCTCGAACCCTAAGAATCTAAACCTTTTTTGGACCAAATTGTAGCCGCTTGAAGTGTAACAACCATAGCTAAATAATATTATTTCGAGCTTTACAATACGCTGATTACCACGCTCTTGATGATTGGTCTTACTCCTGATCCATATGCAATTATGAGCATAGAGTTAATTAAAAAAGGGAATTCACGATGAATATTATCACCACTTAATGGCCTTTTAAGGCCACTTAATACTGTTATTCCGCATGGATATTCGTAACTAGGAATTCCTTTTGTTTTCTTTTGGGAAAATAAACTACACTTAAGTAAATTAATAAACCACTGAACTTAACCAATTATCTCCCTCGCAAACATCTAATAATAAAGAACTGAAGTCGCGTATTTTTTTTAGGGAGTTATTAGAGCGAAAAAATTGTTTTTTGAAGCTTTTGTTTTCTTTTCCTGCTCTTCACAAAACCCTAATTTGTGCCTCTCACTCTCAAAATTATTTTACGACTTTCCCGGTCAAGATACCACATGACATAGCCTGATGACGTTCGCTGTAAACAGAGCACTGAGATAAAATCTGATGACATGTCCACAAACCAGCGGTATTTTGCGATGGATTCTCACGCAGTCTCAGACCAGTTTTTTAACCATACTTTAGCCGTCTGAAGCGTCAAAATCATGGTTTAGTTCTATTTCTACTTGCTACCATACAATTAGCTGGATACCACGGAACTCTTTGTGGCTGGAAGTTGTGCAATAAATGTTGGAAAACTACAGAGAATTTTCTCGTATTGTATCTATGTAAATATTTTGGGTTTTAGTCAGTTTCTCATTAGCATTTTCACAATTGATTATGTATGAAAAAAATTTTATCCTTCAACTTGAACATGTCGGTTGAGCAGTCGAAACGTCGTTGCTTTTTAACGTTAATTTTTATGGTAAAATCCGTTTTTAAACATTTGTTGGTATTCGAAAACTACAGAGGTTTTAGTAACTTAGCCCGATGGGATTAACTGAAATAAGGAATTTCACAATCCGTTAACCCATTTTCGCGTGTTCTATAAACATATGTAGTCGTAACACATCCTTGAAACACAAACTTAACGTAAACGATAACAAACGTCATTTTGTAACAGCATCAGGTACTTTTTCCTTATAGAAATCTGGATAAAGAACTTCCTTTGTTTCCTTTAGGATCAAGTTACTTTCTAACCTATCTTTTAAGAATTGAATAAAATCCAGTCTAGAAAACCTTATTATGAAATGACTGATGTTGCAAACTACGGGAATTTATTTCGTAAATCACTGGAAAGGAATTCACGTTCATGAAATTGGCCATACAGCATGAAAATGGCTTCAAGTATAGCTTGCTCAATATGCAGCTTTTTTAAAAGTAATCGTGGGTAAACGCCAAGGAAGCGCAAGGAGCGAAAAACGTGCGAGAGAAGGAACGCGGGAAAAAAAATAAAGCACCGTAGTACGCGCTGTTCCGCATCCAAAAACGACCCCTTGTCTCAACACACCTATTACATCCAATCACAGTGTTTAATACTGTTTACGTTACTTCTGAGAGCATTCATCAAAGAACTGGTGTACCAAAATAGAATAACCTACGCGAGCAACCGAAAATTTTTGTTTTCTTCCGTTTAGATACCGACCACATTCGCTCTTTTCTTACTTTTCATCCAAACGGTAAGGATTACTCCATTTCCGCCGTTTTGATGGCCCAGTTCAACAGAAAGAAGACTTCGTCTATCGTGACCGTGACCAGGTCGGTGGCGGCTTTGAAGAAAGTAAAGCGTTACGTCGTGACATCAGCCCAAACGATCATCGTGACGGAAGCGGGAAGAACTGCTTGAATCGATTCCACCACCGTGTCATTCGCGATACCCATTCGTGCGTCAAGTTCAACATGTCAGTTGCTATTTGTGGCGGTATGATGGTATTCAATGTCACTTGTGGGGATACAAGCGTCGATTTGATCGACGGGTCCTACCCTTCACCACACTCCGGAGGAATACGGATACGGAAGTACTATAATGGGTGCGGAAAAGTACATGTTACGGGATGCAGATGTCAATAATGAAGGTTATCGGTGAGAGTTTTGAAAAATGATATTTGTTTACAAAAGAACTCACCCTCATCCTTTTAAACTTCATAAGTAATCAAAGTTGTGTGTATTTCTTAGCAGTGCCGTAAGACATGTAACATGATGATAAAAGCTGACTCACCGTAGTGATACGTTTTGTACAGAGATTCCAGATGAAAGCAGAAATGCTCTTTGGCTTGTACAGATTAACATCGATGTTGATTTTTAATCGTATACAAATAAAAATGTTTTTCTTAGTTTGTTTAGTGACGAGATGATTATCATTCTTCTTGTAACTTTTATTCTAAAATCAGCCGTCTATTCTCCTCAATTACTCAAAGGAGAGAGATTGAAGCAAAGAATGAATTCAAACAATCTCTTTCCCCATGCGGTGTACAACATTAGCACACTGCTTCCATAGAATCTTATACACCCCAAAATATCTGCTGTTGGCTTCAAAGATCCCGAAAAAATATAACTCCCTTGTGGCTTGACTAAAGCTCTCTGCCAAAGCTAGCCTTTCCGCTTTAAATGACCCTCGTACGCTGTGAGGGCACTGAGTTCTGCGATGTCTTACTCCTGATAAACTGGATTTCCTTAGTCAAAGCCGGTTTGGAAAACAACGTCCATGGTGATCATGAAGTAATACAAATGTACTATATTCGCGGTTTTGCGGGAAACTCTAATGGTTTTCGGTGAAACGATTCAACAGGAAGTCTACCTACCTATTAAGCCGGATGTTAATCTTAACGAGGGCAGATATGCTTAAAATTAGGCAACAATAAAGAATTTGCACTTTTGTTGGCGTTACGGTTCTGATGACTAAAAATAAGCTGGCTTATCAACAAGGCCTAAGATGGCGATATGTTATCTGTATTCAGCTCATTCATCGATCTCTATTTAATTCGTGGAGGAATTTTTTTTTCGAGCTTACATGGTCTCATATGAACACTTGAGGAGTTTTGAGACGCCGTCGAAAATCTGTGTACCTTTCAAGTTGTGATATGGAGAACATGAACAGTTGGTCTTCGCTATTTCTGACCTTGGCTTAAATTTTGGTCTTTACGCCTCCCTTAATACATTGCAGAGACCAAAAGCCGTTGAAAACCGGTTAATACAAAAAAATGATGCACCAGTGCCAGAGGGAACCCAGAGGATAAAAAAGAGGAGTAAACAGAAAGTAAATTGCGAAATTAAAAATGAATCAATCATTGTTCTGATAATATTGAAAGATATCAGGCCATCAACTTAAACGTTCAAAGGATCCTCTTTAAATTTATGGTAGTATTTATTTGGGGTGACGTACAACTAACAACTCTAAATGAACTAGAGAGAAACAAAGATGATTAATTATGGCGAGGATCAGAATAGAATCAAAGAAATGTCGATCAAATGTTTTTCCAAGATGCAAAACCCGTAGCCGGTAGACCGGAAATTTCTGGCGGTCATCTCGTAAACAAATAACTGTAACTTAAACCATTGAAAGATAAACAATGGGTGACGTTACTATTCACCCCCATTACTATACCTAATGTTTTTAAGGTGCTAACTCTCCACGAATGCTGCACTTCGAAATAAGCTTGTTATCGTTTATTTGAAATCTCGACAAACTTGAAAGTACATCTGAAAAGATCAAGTTTATTGCGTAGTCTGATCATCAGGGCGAGGGTTGTCCTGGTAGATGGATTGCTGTAGGTGACAAAGTTAGACGTTTTTAACTTCCTTAGCGGAAGTAAGAAGTCATGACTCTGTTTATCACTTCCTCCCAAGTTTTCGAAACAGTCAGCATCACCATTCCTTTTCAGGAGCACACTATGCCGGTCGAGGCGATCACGATCTACAATGGCTGTTGTTTACGATTAAGATATAATTTATTTGATTCGTTCAAAAGGTAAATCAGCATAACTTATGTCTATAACGACTACATATATCACATAATCAATAGTTACGATGGGCGAGCTCAGAAACGGCCCTGTGCAATGGTTTCAAAAATTGCGTCACGCAGCGCAAGTGCAATTCGAAGCCATTGTACAAGAACCACTTGGACCAAAAACGATTTTGAAATTTTTCTTGCATTTCGGTGGAATATTGCCCGGTGAATAACAACCAACACTATGCTTCTTGCAATGAACCTCAATGATATATCTTTCAAGACAATGATTCCACTTTCGGACTCTCTTTTCCTCGCAAGGGTTCAGTGAGCGAGAAACTCGTGAGAGGAGAGGATGGTTTTCTGTACTGCTCTTTTGCCTATCTTCTTCGTGCAGTTCAAGTAAAGAAGACAGTTTATCGGACAGCGCACCTGTAGATTCACTGCCATTCT